TGAAAGAAGTAGCTGTGGGACTCAGGATATTAGACTTCTCCCCCTCCCCCGCCCCCACACCTAAAATCTGGTAAAAGTTCCTTCGCCTTTCACTACAAACAGTTGGGATGAGGTGGTTTATATTTGTGTTGGACGTATTTTCATAGACTTCTCACTCAGTCCTGATCTCCCAGGTATTACCATTTCTCTACAGGGAAGGAAAACACTGAGGGGAAGCTGGGCTTGGGAGTGAGTGGCAAGGCAGCCCCAAGTAAGGAAGCCCCATTGGGGGGAAGCAGTTGACATGGTCTAGAATACCTGGTGGTTTGATAGACACGAATGCCACTTCATGTGTCAAACTGGCAGCTTCCTGTAATTCACTACCCACATAGTATGTGATATGGCCCAGCACAGTAAGGTACTTTCCTCTGGGATCTAAGTGGGAATGGTTTCCCACTTTTCTAATGTTCCTGTTCTGTGGAAGGAATGCTCTGGGAATGCAGGCTTTAGTTCCAATTGTGTCAGGCATTCCCTGAGGGAGCTCTAAGTTGTCAAAGGGGGTATAAGGCATGCCTGCATACTTCAAAAGTCCGGTGTGAGGGTGAAGTCAGATGGGCAGATAACTTGAGAAGTTATCCTGCGCTACCACAAATGCAAGATAGCAATGGGGGCAACATAGGAAAGTGTGCAACAGAATGAACGGTTCTATCTGACCCGGAAGTCTACTGTCCTTTCTTTATATTCCACTGATGTCATTTAACAGTCACCAATTAGGTGCCTACTCTATAGAAGATAGTAGGTGCACAAGAAATGAAGCTGTAGAGCTGTTCTCACAGAGAGGTGCACACTTGTGACACCTAGAACAACATGGACACATGGTAGAAGCAGTTCAATGGAAATACTGAGGTAGTTTGGGGGGTGGGTAGAGAGGAGAGGAATCAGAGGCATCCTCAGAGGCCTGGAAGCCACTTCTTCCATCAGCCAATTTTATTTACGCATAAAAGTGCTGCGGGGTGCAGGGCTGGGTGGTGAGAGGATTCACCAGAGACAGTGTGGGGAGCAGAATAGGTGGACTGACTGAAATACACTGCTGAGAGGAGCAGCTGGAGAGACAGAAGAGGTCTGCTGCACCATGTGGGTCACCTCCCTGGCCAGAGATTGAGCTAGTGCTATAGTGGTTGCCCATAGCTTCACAGTACTGAGACTTAACCCCTTGAGCCACCAGGGAGGCCCCCCTGATATCGGTCAATTTACCAATTGTTCTTGTAGCGGTTCTCTATTTCAGGAAGAGACTTAGAGATTTTACATGAAATAATCTTTAAATTTTTTTTTTCTGACCTAAGGCAATTCAGTAAATGGAAAAGAGAAAGTCCTCATTCATACTTTCAACAAACATTTACTGATTGCTCGGAACACAGCGATGACCAAGTGATGTTCTTAATTAACTTGCTAGGGTAACTGACAAGTAACACTTCAGGTCAGAGGAGGGGCACCCAATCAGCCTGGCAGGGTGAGTGGGGCCATTCAAGGCGAACTGTCAGAAGTGAAGGCTGAGCTGACACTTGAAGGGTGGCTGGAGCAGAATTTCAGGCAGAGGGGACTGCACATACAGAGTGGGGCATCAGAGACCAGGGGAAGTGTGGACACAGGAATAAAGAGGAAAGAAAAGATCCACAGGAGCCCTACAAGCCCCAGCCAATGCTGAAGGTGATGGGGAGGGTATACAGGGTGAGAATGGGGGAGGGGTTGTTCAGGTGGAGAGGGGGAAGAGGACCCAGGGAATACCAGTAAGGGTTAGACAGGGTCGAAGAGCCCAGAAGCATCAGGAAAAAAATTGTATCTGCACATTCTTTTCCCAGCAGACACGGGCTGCAAAATGTCAGCTAGGAATATCCATTCCCTGCTACAGATGGAGAAGACAAGGCAGTGAAAGACCAAATGCCTGAGAAAGCCACATGTGAGTGACTGAACCCAAACTCAGCACTCTGTCTCCCTGCCAAACTTATGTGCACTTATGAATTTCCTTTGTTCTCAAACTCTGAGACCATGGAAATAGGACCATTTCCTTCAGCCCCCTTTCCTCATCATTTAAGCCTAATATCTTCAAGTACATGGTTCCAGGGACAGCTACAAGTGCTGACAGCTAAGCCAGGTGAAGGCAGCTAGTCATTTTTTTTTTAAAGATTTATTTGTGCATACGGAACTGGGGTACAGTCCAGAGGTGCAAGGGCGGTGAGAGGATTCACCAGAGACTGAGTGGGGAGCAGAACAGGCAGATCAACAAAGTACACTGCTGAGGGGAGCAGCGGGCGGGTCAGGAGAGGTCTGCCACTCCATGTGGATCTCCTCCGGGTCAGGCAGGGATCGAACTCATGAGGAAGTGGCTTTCAATTCTTAGTGCTGCGCTTTAACCCGCTGTGCCACCAAGGAGGGCCAGGTTGCTATTCTTAATTCTACGTAACTTATACCGCAGTAAAGACAGACAACAACACACGCACACAGGGACAGAGGGCACTGGGTTGGGGCCATGGAGTGGATCAGCTCTAAGATGTGAGCACCTGATGGCATCAGGACACCCCTCTGGGCTGCCTCACCGAAAGGCACAGGGGTGGATGAGTGGACCGGTAGGTAGTGCAGGAAGGCCACAATACCCACTAAATAAACAGGGGGTGGGCAGGCTGCATGCACAGAGGAAGCAGAGAACAAAGACCTCTCACTCTTCATGCAAAGTCCACAGTGTGCAAAGGGCATCAATACTGGACATTTCTCACTCTGACATTTTGAAAGCCCAGCCTAGCTCTGAACAATGGTTATCCTCTGGGGACCATGGGCTGTGTACCCGTCATTCAGTGATGGCTGGCATATCCCATGTGCTTGGTGAACTTGACCCTGGGCATCAGTCCCCCATGATGATTCTACGTCACTCTGGTCTCTTCCCCCACTGAGAATTCCAATCTCAGATGAATGGAAGGATTCATTCTGGGAGCAGGAAAACCACTCCAGGAGTGAATCAGAAGGACCCAGCCCTGGTCCCCTTGCCAGCCATTGAGCCAGGAACTGAAAGCGATTGTGTGCCCAGGCGCCGATGCTGTTCCCTTCTCAGGGAGGGGGGTCAGGGTCCACGCAAGAAATGACGCAGAAGCCCTCTAAAGAGGGAGAGAAAGGATCTCAGCTTTAGGGACAAAGCCACCCTTTTGGTTGTGACCTTCAGTCCAAAGAGGTGCCAAAATGTGGATGTACTGGTAAATTAGTCCTACTGGACAGAAAACCTTAGCTTTTCCTAGACAGTTGTCAATTTCAGTTCTCTTTCATCCAACAGACTTTAGGAAACAGGCCTCTCACTTTAGGAAAAAAGCACCTTCCACAGACAGGAGGAAGCAATGTGCCTCAGATGATCACATTTAGTGCTCTCTGCACAGCTCTTCTGATGTAAAAATCCATTCATTTTCTAACACTTAAATACCAACCTAAGCAATTTAGAACACCGGCCCCTTCTGCTTTTTACCTTGAGAAATTAGACATGAGAATGCCAAAGATTCAAGTTGCAGCAGGCAAGTGGCCAAAATATCACCAGGTCAGGGACACCCAGACTGACACGTTAAGGCAGTAATTCCCCTAGGAAAGGGAATTGTGTCTTTGCCCATCCCACTAATTAGGCTATAACTAGGTGGGAAAGTCAGCTTTTTAAGGCTCCAGCCCTCTATTGGCCTCCTGGAGCCAAGGTGCAAGGAAAATGAGCAGCTCCTTGTGGGGCTTGTTAGGGCATTGCTCCAGGCTTCCCTCTACCTGCTGCTGCTGATTTTCTCATTTGTCCATCAATCCTCCTCTAAGAAGCAAGGGGGTGGGGGTAGGGGAGAGCAGAAATGGTTTAAATTTTACATTAGAGAGCTGTCCTTGACACTGACTGGCATCAGCTGTTTGTGGTCAGTGCGTTAGTTCAGCTGACTGCCAAAGGTGAGCCTGCAGAAGCTCTCTGGAAAGATACCTTAGTATCTTCATTTATTCCTAACTAGTTACTGTGTACTTACTTTGAGTAAAGAAACAGGCTAGACTGTAACAGAATAGGAAATATCTTCCTTACTCTAACAGAATTTGGGTTCCCAAAGGGTGGACTCATCTTGTACATATCTGGGGCATATCTGGGGCGGGAGTGAACAATGTATTCATAAAACAAGCTGTAATTGAAGTCTCTGAGCTCCATAAGGTTATGGAATGGAAGTCCTTGAGCCTGAAGGTAGTGCTTTAGGCACAACAAACCAAACAGTACAGTGTCTACTGTGAGCCAAATATCAGGCAGTTTCCACAGCGGTATACCTACCGGTTCTAGAATTGTGACTCGACTACTCTGAACATCCTGGCTACTGTTTTCATTGTCTGAGAATTCCTATCATGTTTAAGCTCGCTATTTCTAGTTTAGAGGAAGAACAGTGGGTAAGGGGTCCTGGAAAGATTAAAACTAGCTCAATCCCATACTGGGCTTGTAGGTGTATAAACCTGGCCCCTTCCAAATAAGACACATTTTGCCTCTAGAAGACCGTTAAGGGGTGCAGATACTAGTCAACGGACAGCAAGTGATCAATAAGCTGTGCCCACAATGCCAGAGGACCAGAGCTCTGGATTGGTGGGCCCGACGGAAAGAGGACCACCAGGAAGAAAGGCGCTTACTCCACCTAAAAGGCCCTAAAAGTGGGAACGGGTAAGCCTCTCCCTCAAGCAGCTGGGATAAGATGGGACGGCTCCTAGGAAAAGAAGTCAGGAAACGAGTCAGACACAGGGTCCCTGGCGAAAGGGACCCCCGCCCCACCTGCAGGTGAGTCCTGCCAAGAGATGAAGGCTCGGGGAGAGCACCGTGGGGAGGTCCCCCGAGCGACCCTAGAACCGAGGCCAGCGGGGCACCGGTCTGGGGCGGCGGGTCCGAGCGACCAGACGGGCGGCGCGGGCGAAGGGACCCAGAAAGACGCAGGGCCAGGCGCATCGCGGGCCGGGGGCTCGGGGGACCGTGCCGCCCGGGCCTCACTCACCAGCTCATGGTCCCCAAGCTGGCACCACTGCGGGGTCCTCAGCCGCAACTCGTCCTCGGGGACCACTTCCGGATTCAGCCAGTCTCCAGGAAGTGACGCGAGGTCCGCCCCCCTCTGCCCGGAAGAGGCGTTGGGTGGGCGGGACCCGCGCGTTAACTCTTCCACTGCCGCGAGCTTCCCGCGGAGCTGCCCTGACTCACCTGCTTGTCGCCTTGGCTAAGGGACTCAGGGCTTAGCCTGTGGGAGGGTCAGGACGACGACCTTTGGGTGCTTTTTCTGCCGCAAACACCGACTTGTAAGATTCTCTTCCGCTGATGACACATCATTTAACCGGGTCATTGCTTAGTTTTGCTGTCTGGGAAGTGAGCAGTTTCTCATCCAAGAGACAGTAGCTGTAATTTTCTACTTGGGAAGGAGCCCTGGACACAGAGTGTGAGGGAGACTCGTGTTCACTGTGTGGTCTTTTGAATCTGTTAGATTCTGTGCCTGTGCTTTTGTAATTAACAAACAGATCCTTTCCCTCCAAGATGGCTCAGAGTTCTGAACAGGTGCTTTCAGGTTGGAATGTGCTGTGGATCCACGCAAAAGAAGAAGACAAAGAGTAAGGATTACTTCCCTCTGCAGAACCCACACGATGTGAATGGTCCCTTCTCCTACTGATTCTTTCAACCATTATTCATCCAATGCCTACATGGATGGCTACCCCACCTGTTCTGTCTTTTCCCATGCGTGACTCCCTGAGTTATTGCCCCATACTGCTAACGAATTTCTGAAAGTTTTAACTTAGGGAACTACCATATCCCTGGGGAAGTCTGTTTCAGTTCTGGGTGGAGAGGAAGTAGCAGATACAGCCTTCAGGGCAAAAATGAGTCCAGGGCTAAGATTCTGGAGTTCTGGCTATGGTTCCATCTTGGATATGACTTCAAGACAAGTCACATCTCTTCTCTGGGTCTCATCTAGAAGAGGAATAGCTGAACCACATTTCCTTTTTTTTTTTTTTAAGATTTTATTTATGCATACAGAAATGGGGTACAGGCCAGAGGTGCAGGGGTGGTGAGAGGCTTCACCAGAAACAGAGTGGGGAGCAGAATAGGCGGATCCACAAAGTACACTGCTGAGGGGAGCAGTGGGCTAGATATGAGAGGTCTGCCGCGCCATGTGGGTCACCTCTAGAGCTGGGGATCAAACTCGCACTGACGGGGCCATGGCTTGGCTGAGCTTCGCAGTGCAGTGCTGCAACCCGCTGGGCACACATTTCCTAAGGCTCCAATATTCTGCATTCCAAGTCAGCTGTCCTGTTGACTCTTGAGGCCCTCGGAGAAGAGGAGAATAGGGGAGACATGTGCAGTTGAGCCAGAACAGAGATGCAAGCCGGAAGAGGTGAGCAGGTCTGAGGAGTCAGGGATGGACTGGGATGAAGCCAAAGATGAATTTTCTGGGAGGGCAGGATTCAGCCTGAGGCCCAACTGGGGCTGAGCTGCTCATCTCCACCCCCAAATCTCCCATGTAGCCAGCAGCATCTTTGAGGTGGCTGGGAAGAACGCTTGCCACCTAGGAGTTTGTCTGGAAAGGGTCTACTTTGAGCTAAACCTCCTTACCAATTGCTCTTTGGCTCAGCAAGAGGCCTACTGGACTGAAGATGAATGGTCCTGTGGCATATGGCCATGTGGACTTGACCCCTGGGTCGTTGAGCATGAGAAAGCACAGATACCTCCTGTTGTTATGGGTTTCCAGGCCCAGGATTGGGTGCTGTGTCTGCCATTTCATAACCAAAGGGCAGCACAGAATAGGCTTCCTGCACTTTCAGGAGGAGGTTGGAAAAGCAGATCCAGTAGTCTATGTGAAGCTCCACAGAGGCACCTCAGGTTGAGGAAGATGCAAATGCAACCGGCTTCAAGTCCAGCGACTGTCCCTCCTCAGAAGCTGGAGCCTGCAGCTGAGTGTTCAGGTGGCAGAACTCTGCTTCAGCAGACAAATTCACCAGACAGACAGCAGCCCACGGGCCAGCTTTGGACATTGACCTCTCACTGGAGCCTTTCACTCAGGAACTGGTGAGCAGATGCTTCCCACTGACCCTCTTCTCTGGGCTTGTTACAGCCTAACTTCTCCCAGCCTTCCTCACATGAAGTCTCTGCCTAACCCCACAGTTCTTCCCCCAAATCAGCCACTAATCAGCTAAGGGTGAGTACTGCAGAACTCGGCCCTGGGCCATGAGGGGCTTCATTAGAGCAGAAGTGCTGAGGCTGAACATCCTGATGTACAGGGGTCAGATCCATGGGCTGAGCCCCCTTGCAGCCCTGAAGACCTTTGTGCAGCATAAAGTGAGACCCAATGCTCAGGTGTCTGTGTTGTTGCATGGCCTACACCCCCTGTTCTGCACGTGCTCAACAAGATGCTTCCGAACAACAGTCTCCTGGGAAGCTGAGGGTCAAGGACATGGGAGAAGAGCAAGAGTGGCAGGAGATGGAGAATGTCACAGAGTTTTAGGTTCCCACATAGATGGCTCAGAGGTCAAGGCGAAGTCTCAGATCGAAAGTTGGGTCTACAAGCAGTGATCAGGCCACAAATAACTGGGCCTTGTTTGGCTTCCAACTAGCTTGAGGGAGACTTATCTCCTCAGGGCCTCATCTTCCAGGATGTAATATAAAGACTACATGTGAGATTCCATATGCCAGATCAGATCTCTTGTTACCAGCTCCCTGGAATAACATGGTGAGGATTCTGGGGAATCTTCTTTTGGTACCGAAGGCCTGGGCTTGTTCAATGTCTGCCTTGTATGAGTAAGAGAGAAGTGATGGTATAATTCCACTTTATTATTATTTTTTAATGAGTTAACAAATGAGCACTGATATGTACCAGGTATCATTCTAAGCAGCTCAAATTTAACCTTTCCAACAACCCCATGAGGTGTGTACTATCATCATCAGCCTGGAACGCCGAAGTGGCCAGTAAGCGGTGACATGGAGACTCCAACCCAGGCAGCCTGGCCCTGACCTTTATGCTTTTTGCCACCACGGTGTCCCACCTACCCTTAATGGCTCCTGAGGTACCTGACAGCCTGTGACTCTGTCAGGGCTCAGTGGGGTCAGAGGCCAACAGACCGATGGAACAGGAGAAACACAAGCACCAGACGGCCTGGCCTGACTGGAGGAGGGGAGGCCGGAAGCTCATCTCACCTGGGCCTCCTCTGGGTGCTTTTACATGGCGCCTCCAGTTTGCAGAGCCGAGGACCAGCAGGTGGCAGCACCTGGCAGGGTGAGAGAAAAGGGCAGGTCCCCACCTGGCATGGAAGTCCGGCAGGGATTAGGCAGGCCTGCTCAGAGAAAATGTGAACCAGAGAGGGTGTGGAAGAAGGCGCGCCAAGGACTTGGAGAGGAGGGCCCAGCCTCAGACCCGGGAAGCTGCCAAGGCCGGTGCTTGCTTTCTACCCAGAGTGTGAGCCTCCCAGCTTGCATTTCATGGTGCCTGCTGTGGGCTTTTTTTTCCTCCACTCTGGGAGAATGACTAACTTTAAGGACTAAAAAAAAAGTGTTTTGATTACACTGCCTTTTTACCAACTGGGAGCATTAGTCACCGTGGATTGCTGCAGATAACGGGGAGGCAAGCAGCATCCCCCTCCTCCCCCTCCTGCTCCCTGATTAGCTCACAGAAGCCTGGGAGAGCGGTGCACCCTGGAGGGAAACCATCCCCTCTGGATTGTGCCCCAGGCTAGGTCAAGGCTAAGCAGCCCTGGGCCAGCTCAGCCCACAGCAGGAGGTACCCACTGGAAAGGAAACTTCCCCTGATCCCGCTCCTCTGGGCAGAGTTGGCTCTAGGTGACCTGTGTCTCCAGGTAAATCCATGCGCTCAGGGAAGAGAAGTTTGAGGAGGTCACTGAGGACATGGCTCCTGAGCTGGGCCACCAGTGGCTGCAAAGGTTGGGGCACGGCCCTGCAGGGCCACGAGGGCTGTGCTGCGGGGCTGTGTCCAGGTTGTGTGGGGCTGAGAACTGCTTTAGGCTGGAGCTCACACTGGGGTTGAAGCGTTCCTGCAGGTACCCATTTTTCTGCACCCTGCACTTTGACCTGTTTCCCCAAAGGGCAGGGCCTAGTAACTCAGGCCCACCTTCCTACCCAAAGCCTTCTTTGCTTCTGCCCTGGTGCTGGAGGGCTGGAGTGCTCCGGTGCTTGCCCAGTCCGGCCTGGTGGCCAGGGAGCCAGAGAGGCACTCTGGGCCCTGGGGGGGGGGGGGGG